GTTTGACGCAATATTTACACTGAAGCTCGCAGGCAGCTATGGTAAGGGGCATGACATTTCCCGACCAGGTGCCGAGTGGTGCCGGGCCTACACTGGAAAGGGGGTCCACTGGCTGCAGGGAAATTATATATTTTAATAATTATTTATATGGGAGTTTGCAGCAGTGACAACAGCGTTCTGTAAACAAATGCCAATCACAGCACACACTGGCCCAGCTAACCAATCACAGCACATTTCGTAATTCAGAAGAATGCCTTCATTTGATTCAGGAACTATTCGAGCTGTTCATACCAGACTGGGGAGAGAGGTGTTGTAATAATGTAAAATATGTGAAAATAATGTGTTTTTCGAACAACCTAGTATGAGAGCCTGTTGTAGTACACCCCAAAACAAAATCAAGACTTTGCAAAAGAGCATAATAGGACCCCTTTAACTAACAAAAAAATAATAGTCTTTACTAAGATTACTCAAAGCAGCATTAAAGAAATAGTTTACACAAAAATAAACATTTTCTGAATATTTACTCACCCAGGCCATCCAAGATGTAGATGAATTTGTTTCTTCATCAGAACAGTTTTGGAGAAACTTAGCATCACATCACTTGCTCACCAACTGATCCTCTGCAGTGAATGGGTGCCGTCAGAATGAAAATCCAAACAGCTGAGAAAAACATCACAATAATACACAACTCCAATCCATTAATTAACATCTTGTTAGTGGAAAAACTACAAGTGGAAAAGCTACATGTTTGTAAGAAACAAATCCATCATTAAGGTGTTTTAACTTCACTGTTAACTGTCATTTCTGGCCAAATTATGAGTCCAATAATCCATAACGATGAAGAAACAAACTAATCTACATATTGGATGGCCTGAGGGTGAGTATATTTTTAGCAAATTTTCGTTTTTGGGTGAACTGTTCCTTTAAATATAGAAAAACTGCATGTAAAATATTTGAGTTTGATGTATCAAAAAAGATGTTATTCTATTTCCACTATGATTCATCAGTGAGAACTGGTAATTCAAAAACAAAGCATTCATTCATAATGTTAATCTTAAATGCTCCCCCCAGCATGATAATATATATTTTTTTAAATGCATCAGAGAAGTATCAAGATCAACACAAACATGAGATCATTACTTGGCAACGTGAGAGCAGCAAAGTATCTGAGAAAGACATCTGACAAATAAAAACTTGTGCATTCACAAATTAGAATTAGAAAATATATATCACATCTGGTTACTTTCTATCTTTTTTTTATATAACACATAATTACTGTATTTGAATTACTGTAAGGGAAGGTTTAGGGTTGTGGTAGGTGTAGACGTTAATCAACCATCATTTTACAGGTAGCATTTTTCGTTGTCGAATTGTACTACCCACTGTTTTAATGGGAGGTAGCAAAATCTGACAGGGTAGCACAAATCGAGAGAACACCGGTTCTTTTAATGAAAACCATAGAGTGCGACCAGTGTAATATCCGATGCTCAAATGGCTCAAGATACGATACTTTAAAAAACGTAGCCTACATCGCAACCAATGTAGCCTGACTCTCGAACAATGAACGAAAAACATACGTAGGCCTTCAGAGCAACTAGTGTACAGATTTGTGAACAAATGACTCTTTTGAGCCGGTTCTTTTTAGTGAATGAAACCCGTACAGTGGGAACTGTACTATATATTCACACTTTATTTATTCAATTGATTTATCTGAAATCATTTGCCAGTAAATAATGACAGAATTTTTCCCTTTTCCCTTTAAATGCTTAGACCTGAGAGAATCTGTTTGTTTGTGTGTAGCCACATGCATGAGTTCAGTTGTGTGTATTCTCAGTATTAGTTGCTAGGGTGTGATGTAATAGACCTCTGACCAAGTCACTGTCTGTCATCAGTTCAGTCAGCTTCCATCTGCATCAGAGCATATGGAACCATACACAACACACACATGCTAGAAAGATCTTGATAGGTGGCCTAGCAGTGGGAAGAATGTTAAATGGAGTTTAATAGGATGAATGGTAGGGAGTGTTTAAGGCCTCAAAGGCTAATGGACCAGCTCAGTGTGCGCAGATGGCATGCTGGTCTAATGTTTTTAACAGTTATTATTATTATTATTACAACTACTATTTATTTATTTATTATAAGAATCATTATTATTAATTATAAATATAATAACACAAAATATAGTGATTAATAATAATAATAATAAACGACTAACAGAGCTGGGAAGAAACTGATTACATGTAATCTGGATTTTGTAATCAGATAAAAAAAATCAAGTACTCGTAATTAGAATATAGGCCTCTTACATTTTATAAGGCTCATAATCAGATTACAGTTCCTTTTGATAGATTTTTATGAATGATTTACATGATTACATATTCACACAATGGTAGTAAATAATTTATCATTTATTGATTCCCCCCTAATTCTTCTCTTTTTTTTCTCTCTTTTAAATTTTCCTTTCTAAAAATCCTACTGAATGTCAAACCATTTAGCTTTGACTATATTCACAATATAGAATAATCATGTAAATGTTGTATAAATAAATTTGCAAACCATGCTTCTGAATTTGGGTGAAAAAAGCACCTCTCAAGCAATTAGACCATGTATGAAATAAACAATTATGCAAGTTACTAAACACTGGTGACGAATGGCTGTGAAACACTATGTCATCATCATATACAATCGCCTTCAGTAACTGTTGATTCTGGAAGTCTGGACAAAACATTTTGAAACCTGAAAGACTTTGGGCATGTAACATCATTGTTGTTTTTATGTTTATTGTTTGTTCATATAAAATGCTAAGCAAAATTATAAAAGTAGTATAGTATAAAAATATATATTTTACTGTCTCTAAAAAGCCAACATTATTAAAATTGCTTTTGACTTTTGCATCAGCTTAAGAGCTGTTTGGCAGCATCACATTGCAACATTTGCAAATAGCTTTACTAAACATAAACAAAACAAAATATGTCTCCATGAGAAATAACAGTTGGTTGTGGGCAGGCAGTGAGAGCCATAAAGAGAAATCAACCAGCTGACACGATGACTCATTACATTCACTAATTTGCTTGACTGACAGCTGCAGACACAGTGGCCAGTGTATCTCCATTTGACCACACTGAAATAAAGAATAGTTAAGTAACAAAATACCATATATATATATATAGACATAC